AGCCTGGGGACGGGGTGGGGGGGCTCCGGGGCCTGAATCTGCCTGCCTGGAGACCCCGGCAGGGTTTCCTTCGTGAGCCCTTCCAGAAGGAGAAGGAGCGACTGCTCGGGGCTTGCTGCTTGTAACGGAGGGGACGGGTGAAAGAAATCCCAGGTTTTCACTTAAATAAAGGTGTAAGCGGGAGGTCCTGAAAGTGCCACGTTGGAGGATTTTTAAACAGGGGTGGCTACTTCAAGCGCGTTCAGCAGTTTTCAGCTTTTGTTGGTATCGTTTTAATGTGTAGCACGTTCAGTTTTCCTGATGCTAAATAACTTGGTGCCACTCGAAGATCCCTTGTAATTCCTCGGCAGTTGTTATTTCAGCTGTGCTAACTCCCCACCCCCTTCGAGGATCTTCTGTTTAACAAGTCTTGTAAACTAACCCTCTCTCGTTCTAGTAAACGGTTATTTTTTTTAAAGCACCTCATGTAAAATGCTGCAGGTCCACTGGCAGCGGTGGTGTCCTTTGTGGATTCTGCTTCGTAGTTTGAATTATTCACTTGTCCCGTGATACCAGGAGTAGGTGAGCCTAAAGGGGCTTAAAGCAGTAAAACTGCCAACGACATGTCTTGTAGGAATAACCTGCTTGCCTGCAGCATTAAACCTTCAGCCCTTTGACGGAAGAGCGTCTGCCATTGTAAGACTTAATGGAAGAATAGTTTCCTGGACATTTTGAGAAGAAAAATTCTAGTGCTGAATGGTGGCCTCTCGGTTTCCACGTAGTTTTTTCAGCAACTATTTCATATGAGGGCAGTCCTAGTCATTGCTTTAAAGTAACTCCTTTTTTGGTGTAGCTGCAGTCCTTGTTTGTTCCTTACAGTAGCTTTTGAGGAAATGAAACACAGTTGTACTGCTTACCCCAACCTCTCCATCTAAAAGTTCTGCTTATTCAAAATTAAATGCTTAATGAGTATAGAACTACTTAACATGCATTCCTTTGTCTTTAAAGTGATGGTAAACACTTTATATTTTATATAACTTATGATTAATGGTGTTCCTTGTCTATAAAGCCCGTGTTAAATAAGGTGAATTAATTAGTTTCTCTTTCTAGCGCTAGGTTGGCCTCTCTCTTTGGTCTGGATCAAACAGTCTCAAGCCACGGAAATGAATTCTTCCAGTACACTGCACCAAAGCAGCCTAAGAAGGGTCAAACAGCAGCTGGCAAGTAACTGGGCTTGAGCGTGGGGAAAAAACTTAGCAGCATGTGTCTTGCTGGGAGAATGAGGGCCTTTGTGAAGGAACAGCAGGGCAAAGAATTCACTTAGCTTTTCTTTAATGATACTCTCTTCCTTTAGTACCCTTTCTGCACCTGGTTACTCTAGTGGCCTTTGGTGAGTTTGGAATATCACTCTGTTTCTTTGCTCTCTTCTGGAGTTATTTTTTCCTTGGGGGAAGGAATGTGTCGTGGCATTGTCACCGGCCAGCGAATGTGGCAGTTCTGTATCACTGACGGGTGTTCCTGCTTTTTATTCTTCAGCAGGTCAGGCAGCCCAGAAGGCTCCTGTGGCCCCAGCAGCTTCAGGAGCACCGTCAGTGTTCGTGGCCACTGCGGTTCATGCTTATCGATAGTAAGTGCAGCAGTGGTTTCCTGCATGACCTTTTAGAGTCTGTGTTTCTGAGAGGTTAAGGGAAGATATTTTTGGATGAGTGGGAAGAGACCATTGCTTATAGAGATGTGTCTGCATGGTAGAAATGCTACAAGTCGATGCAAGCTTCTGCTCAAAAAGAGTTTTGGTTATTGTGCTGCAGCTCGGGGTTACGCAGTTGTCAAATAAATAGCAAGTTCTGGATTTGGCTGTTACAGGGAACTGCAT